GGGGGGGGGGGGGAGGGAGTCCCGTCATGATTAGGCAATGCGGTACACAGTAATAGACAAAAACAGATTGAAGATCTGAACATACCCCTTACACTACGGATCTTTTCAATTAGTTGCTCTGCTATTACACCTGAGCTGGGAGTACTTAATGGACTCTTAACTCGAGAAATGCTTCCACTTGCTCTGATAAGAGCTATCTGGTCTCGACCACCTGTTAGACCGACAGTCCATTTCCTAACTCCGGAGTATTTCCTGCAAAATATGTTTTCATTAGCAGTATACAAACTTGGAGTTATTAATTTTATATTTATTATGGACACAATTATATGTTAGATACTAACGCACACTAAAAGGCTTGAACCAATTATGGATCAGAGCCTAATAGCTTAAGATTCTAGTAAAAGCATGTGCCAAATTCCAGCATCCATGAGAAGTAAATTACTTGTAATCAACCATAGGAAGATTTTTGTCTTTTTTAACCCCAAGCCTCTCTTTCAACATCGATATAACCTGCATGCCAATTAAATCACAAAAATATAGATCATATTGCATAAACAGTTTGAGTAGATTATAGTGCACTGGTAGCAATCTATTGTTTAATTTCTCAGATAGTGTCCAGGTGTCAGTATCCAGCTCATTGTTTACATTTACAGGAAATTTTAACAGCTGCCTCCTTCAAGTTAGAAGCCTAAACCATGTTGGCGATGCAAAAGTAAATCCTGTGTTTCCCCAGAAGAAAAAATGACTGTTCATGGTAAGGCAATGATACTACGAAAGTGGTATTACCTCGTCATCATACAGGATATCCTTTATGAATCCTTCTTCCTTTAGCTTTTCAACATTGTACACTCCTTGGTTGATGAAATTTTCAATATCTTCTCTCTTTTTTCCTGCATAACTCTAAGCAGAAACCATTGAGAACAACTTAAATATTAAAATGAAGGAAACAATGTGAATTAGTACAGAACCTGTTGAATTAGAAACTCCATCCAGCCAATTGCCATAAATATTATCAAGAAGGCAGCTCAGCATCTCATAGTTTTCTTCAGATATATTTTTGCGGGCAAGTTGATCTCCAGCACTTTTGTATTTGCCTATCCTTTCCACTTGCGGTTGAATCCCAACTTTCTCAAAGACACCTGAGGGTTTGAAATAAAAATTATTCATGGATATTGTTACAGAATCATTTCTTTGTGTTTTCTTCTCCTATATCGATTATTTTAATGACAGGAATACAACGGGGCAAAAGGAGCAGGAGATGATTGATAAGTATTAACTATAATCACTGAAGAAGGATATTATGTCAAGGCCAACCATGCTTCTTTGCACTATTTAAGCAACAAACAAAGGTAGATCCACCCATATGAATCAAAACAAATTTCTGCATGATATGAAACAGAAGAAAGACTTCTGCTAAGAATATTCTTGCTAGAAATTGCACCAAAGAAAAAAGCAAGTACCTACCTCCAAGAAAGGATGCTTCAACAGTCAAACCATACAGAAAAGAATATGCACTAGGAGGCGCATAGAGCTCATCGCATGCACAGCCAAGATAATATTCCTTTACTCCACAGATGTTGATATAACCCACAACAAATTTACCTATTAGATAAACAATTAGTTAGCTTATAGAAGACATGTAAAAGCTTGAAACGGAAGTACTTTCAGCACGAAAAAGAATTTATAAAAAAGATTTAATGCAATCTAATATCCTGATATTACTATTCAATCACTACTTAAGAGAGAATATCAAAGAGTGAGAAGATACCCGATTTCTTAAAATCAGATATATGCCTCCGGATTTCTTCAACCTTTCCCCACCCACAACTCAAGGGATCAATGTGAAGGTAGATACCAGCAACACGGGGATCATATGCCGCTTTTATGAAATTTTCGCAGATTTGGGGTAGAGATAGCCCTGAAGAGAAGCGGCTCTTTAGCTGATCAGTGATCTGACACATAGTGAAAACAAAGACCCAAAGAATCTCAATCCCACAACGGATACATAATTAGAATAAAAAGAAACCAGAAAGAATTCTTGTAGGCAAAGTAGTTCACTTCAATCACATGTTTCTTTGTCATGGCTTGATAAGAAAGTATTTTCGGCAAGGTTTCTTAAAGTGGTTTCCACATTCCAAGATTCAGCAATGCAAGAATATTTCTCTCCGCAAACAGGTCATAACAATGAGGAAATTGAACACTTCAGTATTCTTACATCCAATCAGTCCGTCAAAAGGGCAACAAGAACCAGAAACTGCTACCACTACCACTTCAGTATTCTTACATTCCACTTCACACATCCAAAAGGAGGTAACAACTATCACTACTGATATCCTAATCACCATTCTAAACTTTGAAATAGCTTGGTCTAATGCTCATTTCCAACTGATCAAGAAACCCCCCTCAGGGAAACAAACAGCCTGTTCGATGCCCTAATCTATTCTCAAATCAGACGATTCCGAAACCAACTCTACAACATCACAACCTAATTCCAACGTATAAAAAACGAATACGAACTACGAGACGAAACGCGAAAGAAGTGAAGAAACCTGGCCTCGCAATTTCATGGTCAAGACGCTTCCCTTGCGAACACGCTGCCAAGGAAAAGCAATAAGCATCCGCAACTTCAAGACAAAACTCTCCCACGCACTCCTCTTCTCGAACACCATTTCTCCGCTCGGATAGTCCTCATCTTTACCTCTTTCCCCAGAAACTCCATTATCCTGCTGCTGCTGCTGCTTCTGCTCTTTCTCCGCATCCGTCGGGGAATCATCGAACGCACGAACCGAAAATCTCCGACTGGACAGAGAAAGACTCGGCCGGAGAGAAAACAAATGCGAAGCCGAGCGATGATTCGCAATGAGAGGTCTGCGAAGAGCCCCCACGGCGACGAAAGTTGCTCTGGTATTGAATCTCGGTATTACATGAGGCGCGTGGAGAAGCAGGAGCTTCGCCATTGTTGATATCTCTTCCTTCACCGATGAGAAGAAAAGCTTCAGCTTCTTCTGTGTGTGTTCCCAAGGAACGAAGAAGAAGAGATTGCGAAGGTGAAGTTTGTTCCACGTCGACTCCTTAATTTGCCGTGAGCGTTTCGTTTCGTGGACTTAATGCTTTAGGTCCGGTTTTAATCAATTTTCGGTTCGATTTAGTATTAACCAAATTCAAAATCAAATCATAACCGGTTTTGTTATATTCGATTTTCACACGGTTCGGGATCAGATTCAGCTCTAAGATTCTCGAATATTTCGGTTTGTTACAAATGGTATAGCTTACATTTGGCAAACAAAAGAAACCGAAAATCGAGAAAAACCCATTCATATTTGAAAATTGAACCGGTTTGTTGACCAAAAACAGAAGAGAAATTTAACCGGTTCGACCGGTTTAGTAGCTTGATCCCTACAGTAACAGTAGTAGTTCGAAGACCATGGTCACCACAAACATTAAAGAGGTCGTCTTCCCACCATCATCTTCGTCACTCTACTACTTGGCAAATTGCCTCCGACTATATATTCCCCCCCCCTTTTTTTTCTGTTGTAATCTCTTGCGGGTTCTGGAAAAAGAGCGGGAATCTTCAGCGACAATTTCTGCATATCTCTCGTATCCTGGTATGCGAATCGTCTGTTGTTTGTTTCGTTGTCCGATCCGCCATAGTTTTTCCTTATTTTTCTCGTTTAGTTGTCTTGTTTTACAGTAACAATCTGGATTTTCTAAGTTGGGTCTTCGTTAAAATTCCTGAAAGCTTTTACCTTTTGATCACGTGGGCTTCGTTGATCATCGCCTGCGGGAAATTCGTTGTTTCTGTATCTTGTTTCCGTTTGTCTGCCGTGGTTTTCCTTCCCTCTCGTTCTTTGATTGTCTTGTTGTTTTGAGGAAGAGTCTGGATTTTTTCAGTTGGGTCTTCGTGAAATTTTCTGAAAGCTTCTCCCTTTTTTTTATCTCACATGGGATTCGTTGATAGTCGGCTGTGGTAAATTCATTGTTTATATATATTGTTTCCGTTTGTCTTTTGTTCATCGATTGCATTGGTTTAGAGGGAAATTGGGTTTTTTTTTCCAGCTGGATCTTGTTGAATCCATAAAACCTTTTTCATCTCATAGGCTTCCTTTTGTTCTTTGTACAAGAAAGTCAGGATTTTCTCAGCTGGGCATTTTGTTAAATTCCTGGAAGTTTGTACTTTTGATCGATGAGGAAATTTGGATGAAACTGGAGAGCGTTCTTTTCGCGCATCATTGTAGACTCGGAAAGGGTATAGAAACTCTTGATTTTGTCTCAAGTTGAAGATTTTATATTGTATGTTTCCCATCACATTTTCTTCTTGAGATGCTTTGCTTTGGCCTTGTAGAGCTATAGAGTTTTAGAAGTTGATACGATATGCCAAAGTTGAATACTATGCAACTTGACAAAATCAACTGTGGAGTGGAATTATTCCAGTTCTATTCTTCATTTCCAACCCTCCAACAAGCATCTACTTTTTGTTTTCCCCTTGATTGCATCTGGGTTAAGTTTGCCATATATATAGCTTGTCAAGTTATTGGCATTTCGTCCTTGTCTAAACGAAATCTGATGTTCTTATTTTTCAGTTTGTACCTTCCGGTTTTTCTATCGATTTGTTTTTTTCAGTTACTGCCTATGATGCTTGATAAATCACCTCGGCGGCGGACTGGCCTATTGCGGGATCAGGTTCAACTCGTTAAAAGAAAGGAGTCAGACAGATATGAGATCGCTCCAATCGAAGATCCATTATCATTTGAAAAGGGTTTCTATGCCGTGATTCGTTCTTGCCAATTGTTAGCTCAGAAGAATGATGGACTCATTTTAGTTGGGGTAGCTGGTCCATCTGGAGCCGGAAAGACAGTGTTCACCGAGAAAGTTCTTAACTTCATGCCTAGTATTGCTGTCATAAGCATGGACAACTACAATGATGGCACCCGTGTAATCGATGGAAACTACGACGGTATACTACACCTCTATGTTTCGCTTTCATCATTCTTGTAACGGGTTTGTTTCAATAACTTTCTTTCGTTTCGGTTTGTGCAATTTTTTGTAGACCCTCGTCTGACAGACTATGAAACACTTCTTGACAATATCCATGGCCTTAAGGCTGGAAAACCTGTTCAGGTTCCGATATATGACTACAAATCGAGTTCTCGCATTGGGTACAGGTATTTCTTTTCCCTTCCAAAGGATGCTTCGAATTTGTAACTGGTGGGTCGATGTCATTACAAGTTTCCTTTTTTCTTTCTAAATTACATGATTTACTGACCACTTGATTTACTAATTAAGGAAATTGTTACAGTTTTGGCCTAAACCGAATAGGAATGGTTAAAGATGTGGTGTTTTTCACTTGAAAATTGCAATAATCATGTTCGTAATAAAATTACAGTATGATCTATTTGGTTTTTGCTCATAAATTTGTATAGGGTTCTGCATATGTGCTAGATGATGTGAGCTGTATCTGTAATGCATCTGACAGTTCATGTCTTGCTTGTGTAGAACGGTTGAGATGCCTAGTTCTCGCATTGTTATTCTTGAAGGCATATATGCTTTGAGCGAAAAACTACGACCTTTACTCGATCTCCGAGTCTCCATCACCGGAGGAGTGCATTTTGATCTTGTAAAACGTGTTTTACGAGACATTCAACGTGCTGGCCAGGCACCTGAAGAAATCATTCATCAAGTTTCTGAGACGGTTAGCATCACTATCTTTTTATTTTATATCTCCCTTGTGATCTTTGGTGAAAAGTTTCATAATATATTAGTTTGTGTTCATATTTTTTCAACCAGGTCTATCCTATGTACAAGGCTTTTATAGAACCTGACCTTAAGACGGCTCATATTAAAATTCTCAACAAGTTTAATCCCTTCAGTGGCTTTCAGAGCCCAACTTATATTCTAAAGGTATATTCTTTGAACCGTGTAGTATACTAGAGACGTATTTCTTCGGTTTTGGAATAATTGTTTTCATCGTACTGTATAGTCAACAAGATCTAAAACACCGGAAGAAATCAAGGCTGTTTTGTCTGAAGCTTGCAAGGAACGTACCGAGGAAACTTACGACATTTATCTTCTACCCCCAGGTGAAGATCCCGAAGCATGCCAATCATACCTGAGGATGAGGAACCGAGATGGAAAATACAATCTCATGTTTGAGGTTGTTCTCTTTCCTGCATATAAACATATAGGACAAGTTGGTTATGGATATTCTACGTGAATTCATATTATTTGTTATTTCAGGAATGGGTTACAGATCGTCCGTTTATAATATCACCGAGAATAACTTTTGAAGTCAGTGTCCGCCTTCTCGGGGGACTGATGGCATTGGGTTACACAATTGCGTCCATCCTGAAGAGAAAGAGTCATATCTTTGATGACGACAAGGTTATTGTGAAGACTGATTGGTTGGAACAACTGAATCGGACGTATCTACAGGTATGCTCTGCTTCATTTCGTTCCTCCCGTCCTTTGGATATTACAAATCTTGCCCATTCGTGTAAACGTTCAAGCTAATTTGTGTAAAGGTGCAAGGTAGAGACCGTTCCTTTGTGAAATATGTGGCTGAGGAACTTGGATTGGAAGGTTCATATGTCCCACACACATATATAGAACAGATTCAGCTGGAGAACCTTGTTAATGATGTTATGGTATCTAATCTTCTATGACTTCATCTTGTTTTGATTTGATATGATGGTGATTTGATCTAAGATGGCCACTACCATGGCTTCAGACTTTGCCAGAAGATTTGAAGACAAAGCTTAGCATAGAGGATGATACTGTTTCTAGCCCCAAGGAAGTCCTTTCAAGAGCATCTGCTGACAGAAGAATGAAGTATCTTAGCAGGTAATCTCAGCTGGCCAAATTCAGAGAGAGAGAGAGAGAGAGAGAGAGAGAGAGAGAGAGAGAGAGAGAGAGAGAGAGAATAGGAATAAACACTGATACGGCATTCGTGTTGACAGTGGTGAATCAAAGTCCTACACAAATCCGCGGGAGAAAATCTTGCCAAACTTGACAAAACTTGCAGTCAACAACAGTAGAATGTTTGATGCCAGGCCGCCTGATTCACCAGCCACTCTTCCAAATCAGGTGATCGGTTTCAAACTCCTTAGACCTTCCTCATTTTTTCTTCTGAATAAATTTTGATGTTTTAGAACTAATCACGTGGGGCATTTCGGGTTATGTATCAGGGTGCCATCACTCAGCTTTCGGATCAAATATCGACGTTGACAGAGAGGATGGATGAATTCACATCTCGTATCGAAGAGCTGAATACCAACTTATCTGCCAGGAGGAGTTCGGGTAGTCAACATAGCCTGGCTTTACAGGCTGAAGGCTGTAATGGTTCCATCTTACCTCATTCTTCATCCTCGTCTCAACTTGCTAGGGACTCCCCTCTCATGGAAGAGGTATATATGTCCTGTTTTGTTCATATATTGCTGCAAATCCCAATAACAGAACATCAAGTTTCTGTCTAGTACCAGAATTTCTCGCAGGATGTCTGTTAGTATAGGAATTCATTCATATATGACGAAACAATGTACCTTTCCAACAGGTTTTGCTCATTGCCCGTGGACAACGTCAGATAATGCATCAAATGGACAACCTGAGCAATCTTGTCCGGGAATACGTTGGAGAGAGGTCTCGCCAAGGAAAGTTGGACAGAGAGGACACGACGAGCGGAGGGCACTCGGGAGAATTATCCTCCATGGCTGTTGTTCTTACTATCGCCTTCGGGGTTCTGGGCATTGTTGCTTACAATGGTTTCATGTCTCCAAAATGAAGATCCTGTAGTTTCAAAAAATATACCCTTCACGTTCCACTGGATGTTTCTTTCTGGTCTGGTGATTGTCGTGTGAAATAAGGTGACATGTCTTTCTAGCATGAAGTCATATCAGAAAACAGTTCAGTTCCCTGCTCTAGAATCCATGATCAGTGGCAGTGGCAATGATGTAAATAAGAGGGACAGGCAATGCACTTGGCCTTTGGGGATGTAAATATGATACAAATAAGAGCTTGATTTGGCATTTGTATTGCAGCTGGTCCTCAAACTCTGCTCTTTATGCATGAAAAAAGGAAGTTTCTCAAACCATGGGATATTTTTCAGCATAGAAGTACATATTTTTGCTGTTTTGTCTCAACAAAAATGTATGAACATGCAAATGATCGAGCAAAGAATGAGGGTTTAACACATGAAACTGCAGAAATAAAGTAGCCACCAAAAGATCTTGTTCCATTTTACTCTTCTAGAACTAGAAATATACCCATAAATATCAGAAACACCATCCATTCTTAAGATACAATAGCCCAATCTTGTTCTTTAATGTTTAACTTCAACTCTATTTCAAGATGCCGTTAGCCATCCAAGCTCTTAAGCTTTTACCTCTACCTGCCTAGGAACATGTTGTGCTGGTAGCACAAGCCCGAGCCCTGTTTTACCATCGGAAGCTAAGTGAGATTCCGGTTTTTCCTTGTACAAGGGATTTGAAGTCAATATCCGCAATCCCGAACCCTTGCAGATTTCAAGAACCTCGGGCAATCCGTTTGTACATCCCTTAGACATGCCCACATCGATCCTAATCGCTTTGTTGTTACAAACGCCGTTGATTCCAACCTCCTGAATCGTGTGGCCCATGATCATCCTCTTCACACCGGGAATGGTGGAAAGTGCGTGTTCCAGAGCCGAACAATCACATTTATGAGCCATCTCTTCGGAAAATCTCCTCAACCAAACAACAGAGTTCCTTCCCCTGCAATACCCGGGTGCATATCTTCCCTTCAACCCATGAATCCAATCCCTCACCTCTTCGTTTATCCTCTCTAATCCGTATTCAACGTGCTCAGCTAAGAGCCCTCCATGAACAAACACTGAATCGCCAACGACAGCAACTGTGAGATTCTTAGACAGGAATCTAGTTGCAATGGGACCTTCTGGTCTAAATGCAGCAATCCTAGCTCTGATTCCCTCGAAACATTCCTCTCTAGCACCACGAAAGCTCCTAGGAATTCCATCGAACAGATCTTTGGGTTTGTCCAAACCTCGACATAAGCTCTTCATCGTGTTCCCCAAACAGTACCAGTCAGACCAAACCTTGAATTCCTCTAAACCCTTCTCCGTAACATACCTAAAATCACCTTCTACATTCATAATCTCGTGATTACCATTCATAGTCACAATCTTACCTCCCGATTTCTCAGCCTCTCGCTTCAATTTCTCGAGAAAATACAGAATCCTCAGCTCATCTCCTCCTCGATCGAGAACGTCGCCAATCTGAACAACCATCGTGGACCCACCAATCCACCGGTCGGATCCGTCGATCAGTCCGGCGAGCCTAAACGCTTCCCTGGACTTCTCGAGGTCTCCATGGACGTCTCCGATTGCAACTAGACGCTCCGGTTCTGGGTACGATGTCTCCGGAGACGAATCTCCGGAAGATTCCACGGGATTTGGGTTGGGATTAGGGTATCTGGGCAAGAAGATTCCGCTGACGGAGTAATCAAGGAAAGTGTCGACGAAGGAAGAGAGAAGATTCGGGACATGTTTGCAGATTCCAACGGTGCTTTCTCCGTTCGACATCTTCTCCGAGATTACTTTATGTTCTCCATTAGATTCAATAATCAAGGAGGCGGAGAAAACCCCGCGTCACGTGTAAGCTGTTATGACTACTATGCCCTTCTCTTGTCGTCGTATTTACCATCTATGCCACTGACAAACTTCGAACTCTAATCAAATCCAAATCAGTGAGATTTCATTGTTGCCCCCAAAAAAAAACTCATGCGATTGCTGATATATACAACAGCTCTAGTAATAACAGCAAAAAAGAAATAATTTACCAAAAGGGTATCAAGAAAGATCGACGCTTTATTTCATACATAATTGTTTTTGCTCAATTTCATGAACAAACTTGGTATGGAATATGAATTTTTAAGGTTTGTACAATACCTGCCAATGAGAGAGATCCTATAGTCTAGAATTCAACTGGCTGTTCGAAGTCTCCATTGTTCCTCCAGAGGCTGAATTTCCATGTCTTGGATTCGTTTCGGATTCCACAGTCTTGTTAGAACAAATGTAGTTCAGCGATTGCAGCCACGAGACTAGAGCAGGTTTGCGGATAACATCGTCAGATTCAGCTACTTGTCCGTATAGTTCATCAAGAACCATGTCCTGTATTTCTTTCGGCAGTTTGATAGTCAGTTGTGCCAATGACTTCATCAGTTCCGGCAAAACCTGGGGAAAAAAGGATGCAAAATCAGGGATATTGACATGAATGCAAGCCTTTTCCATGTTCATTCTCCGAAAATTGATCCGGAGGAGGAAACTTACTTGTATATCAACCAGAGAAACAAGTCTCACAAGCAACTCGAGGATCTGATTACAAGGATCGGACTTCTTTCCTTGCGGGTTTTCTTGTTCAGCATTGTCCGGGTTTTGTGTTTCACAACAAAGTTCAGATGCCTTCTCGACGAGGCAGTTCACGGAATAAAATATGGCAGGACTTCCGGCAGGTAGATGCCGAACTAAGGCTGCAACACCGGAAAAGCATGGACAACTAC